TGAACAGTGAGTCAACACTAACTCTGTGCCAAGGCCTGATTAGAGAGCCGGACACACACAGCGTGTCATTCATGTCCAACACCCCACCCCACCCCACGTTAAAGATGAAGAACTGAGGACTGGCGGGGTCAAGTAACCTGCTGAAAATAACTGGTAGTTAGTGGCCCAGTTAAAATTAAACCTAAGCAGTTTAGGGACTTCACTGGTGGTCTGGTGGTTAAGAATCCATCTGCCAATGCAGGGCACACAGGTTCGATCCCTGGTCTGGGCACGAGGATCCCACATGTCTCAGGACAACTAAGCCCATGCACTGCCGTCACTGAAGCCCTCGAACCCTAGAGCCGATGCTCTGCAACAGGAGAAGCCACTGCAATGAAGAGCTGGGCTCACTGCAACCAGAGAAAGCCCGTGTGCTGCAACGTACCGCCTGTGCAGCCGAAAATAAAATGATCAAAAAGTAAAAATAAAAAAATTTAAAGCTTAAAAAAAAAAAGAATTCTTAAAACAAACAATGCCCCCGCCCCTCCCCCACCTCAGAAAAACCTAAGCAGTTTAAAACTCAGCTGTCGTTTTTTTTTTTCCTCTCGGCAGCACCACTCGGCTTGTGGGATCCCCTTAGGGCCCCAACCAGGGATCGAACATGGGCCCTCAGCAATGAGTCTGTGATGCCCTAACCACTGGACCACTGGGAAATTCTTAAAACTCAGCCTTTAATCACTAAGCTAAAGGATTGAAATAAGAATTAATAGAATAGCTCCAATAAAAAAAAAAAACCTTGAAACAAAAAGATATCTAATACAATTTTTGTTTTCATAAAAAGTATTGTTCTGTAAGCTTACCAAATCAATGTTTTCAATAAGGTACTACCATAAATTGGAAAAAAAAAGGGGGGGGGGGGCAGATACTTCAGAAACATGTGCTAGAGAATGCTTACAACAGCATCGCTTTTAAAAAGCAAAAGACCAATGATAATGAAGACAAAGCAGTGGCATTTGGGGGCTGAAAGCAATTTGATTTATTTAACTTTGAAGAACAAAAGCTTATTCTTCTAAGAAGAAATAAAAACACATTTTCTGTGGAAAAAAGAAACCATTTTAACTGCATTGCCAAAATAAATCAGGCAGAGGGCAAATCAGATCCAGCTACAAAAAAGAACTCAGGCCAAGGAAACAGAGGAAAAAATGCCGAACAGCAGATTTTATTTTTTAAAAATAGAAGGAAAATGCCAATAAAAATTACTTTAAAAGAAAAAATAAAATAAAAAGAGAAGGATAGAGAGATCCTAAATCCAGTTGGTGGTATCAGCCACTGGATTTTTTTTTTTTAAAAGAAGGAATCCTAGCCACTGGGCAGATGTGCATTTGCATTCAAACATTTGGATCAGTCTTACATTAAATCAGCAGCCCCAGGTGGCTTAGACAGTAAAGAATCTTGCCTGCAATATGGGAGACCTGGGTTTGATCCCTGGGTTGAGAAGATCCCCTGAAGAAGGAAATGGCAACCCACTCCAGTTTAAAACAAGGCATTTCTGTAAAATAGCATGGCCAAAAAATCCAAGTTTAAACAAAAATATTTTTCAGAAAAAAAATACAGCTCTGAAAACTGTATCAGACCATGTAAAGATACATAACACTCCTGTCTTCCTGTATTAGCTACATTCCACTGCAGATCTTTTGATTCAGCTCAGAACCAGCTCAGAACTCTGCCATCTGAGTCCAGAAGGAAAAACTTCCAGATTTCTCTAGCTGGAAAAATCAAGTCCTATTAAATAGCTATCTCTTGGAGAATGAGAAATAATAAGAAACCAAGCAAGAAAAACTTTCATGAATACATAAATATTTTTAAGTGTCAATGAATATTCCCTTCCCTCCCTTCTTAGAGTCCATTCTCTGTTGGGCTCACCAGACATCCTTACTCAGCAAGTCCCAATCCCAGTAGACTCTAATCCCGGGACCTGATTTTCCCAGACCTGGCTGAGTGGTGATGTCTGGGACCCCAGGAGCTAGACTGCCTGGGTTGGACTCTACTAAACTCCACCACATTCTTACTGCTAACTTAAAACAAGTTGCTTCAACTCTCTGTGCTTAACCTGGCACCTCCCTACTACTCCTTCCAAAGCATGCCAAGTACACGGTAGATACTCAACACACAGCATGTATTATAAATAAATTAGTCCCGTGGGCATTCATGACACTATTCTCTCTACTTTTGAGTTTCTTTGAAATTTTCCAAAATAAATGTTATTTTTTTATTCCAAAATTAATTAAAAAGTCGAAGGCTCAGAAAACACACCCCTTTCTAAGGTCACTCATGTGCTTGTTGATCCTTTGGCCAGCATAACACCACTGGGAGCCAATGACATAACAGAGGCTCTCCTGGCACTTGCATTCAATTGATGAATTCAATATCCTACTTCACATTCAAGAAAACCAAGAGTAAGAGCAGTGAAGGACAATTTCTAAGCAGCAAAGCTAGGATGAAAGCCCAGGTCTCCTCATCAAATTCAATGCTCTTTCACAAAATCCTGGTAGATGATTGGATGCTTTGCAGAGAATATCGAATTTTAAACCAGTGAGATGTGGTCAGGATTTCGGATGACTGGGTCAAATCTAGATACAGACAGAATTTGGACCAAGAACACTAGTTGAGCAATCCTAATTCTTTTAACCTTCCCAGATCCTAAGCGCCTCTCTCTGGGCAGTAGTGGCCAGAATCAGCCATGGCACATTAGCAAGGCTGTAGTCCGGCTGGGCCGGACCAAGGATCACCTTGCACTTCCTGCCTGAGGGCAAACAGTGTCTTCTTACCCACGGTCTGCTCCATCCCTCAACACACTGCCAGGCTGATGACTCATATGCAGAACTGTCATTACAAATCATGCTTTCTTTGCAGCTGAACTGGCTGGTCTTCCTCACCTGAGACTTGAGTAGCTACTTACTTCTCTTCCCAAAAGGCAACCCCTCACGCTTTTAGTCAGAATGTTTCTCTAACTGACCAAAATCACTCAGAATTCTAGTTCTAATATCTGAGGTACCATCTACTCTTCAGTAACACTTTCTGCAACAATGGAAATGTTCCGTATCTACATTGTCCAATATGGCACGCCCTAGCCGTCTATGGCTCCTGAACACTTAAAATGTGACTAGTGCAACTGCAGAACTAAATTTTTTATTTTAATTAATCTAAATTTAAGTAGCCATAGATGTACAGTGACTACCATATTAGGCCGCCAGGTTCTAGATCATTGGTGGAGATGTTCTGCATTCATGGGTCTTCAGCGGCCCCGAACTTCATGAGCACCCCAGGATGGCAGAAGAGTGTGGCTGGTCTTCCAGTCACACACCTCGGTTCAAATCGGCTCCTCCTTCTAGCTATGTGACCCACACCATGTATATAATTTACCCTTTGGACGCACTGGTTTCCTCATCTATAAAGCAGGGATAAAAGTGTTCATCCCATTAGGAACTGTTTATAATAGCAGACATCTAAGATATATCTCAGTACAATGTCCAGAAGACTAGAACTCTGAACTGACATCAGTTGCTTTTATTATTATCTTCATCATCCACTTCCTCTTCCTAAATACTGGTTCCCTTCCCAAGGCACGAGTAACTGACTAAAAAGGAACTCTGCTTTTAAGAAAGCCCTATTGGGCTTCTCAACTCACTGGGAGGGGCCAGATCTTCCCAAGAGCAAGAAAGCAAGAGCTAGTGCTGGAAAGCTACACGAACCCCTATGTCTTAAGGAATTCAGGAGCACAGTTCCTCCGGATGACTTCTGGATCATCCCCAACCCCTCTGAGCCTGGGCAGGTATCAGAGAAGCTCCACTCAAAAGCCACTTCTCCCTCGACGCAGCCACACTGACCACAAGTGAATTCACTTGTAATAATTAGTAGCACTGACTGCTCATTTCCTATCTGCCAGGCCCGGGGCTTCCTGCGTTAGTTCCCTCATATCTTACTGCCATCCCTCGAGGCAGGCAGCATCATTTTTACTTCCCAGTGAGGAAAGTGAGGCACCAAAAGCCCAAGCACCCTGCCCAGGCCCCAGTGCTAGTGAGTGGTAAACGGGGACTTGACCTGGCAGCCTGACTCCAAGGTTCAGGCTCAAGCTTGCTATTTCCCTGTAGCTTCTAGGACCCTGCCTCCCGCTGCCTCTGTAAGTGGAACCTCTCCTGCCGCAGCACGCAGGCTCTGATGGTTCTACTGGAGACGGTCATCCTGAGTCCTCACACCCTTCCTTTTACATATAATAAATAACACGAAAGGGATGGGCAGGCCTCAAGCCAGAACAGAAAGCAAAGAGGAAGATAAAAGCTAAGCCAATATCAAATCAGCAGAGGCTTTCTTTAAGTAATATCTTCCAAACTTAAAACAGCCAGATTAAGAAGCATTCACTTTTGCTTTTAAATTGCTTCAAAATATCTGATGCAAAGAGTAGTATTTCTACTGGGGGATATTTTAGAACTGTGACGCATCAAAGAAAACTAGTTTCTCAAAGAAAAAAGCATTGCTGTGCTCGCTCCAGTCTTTATCAAATCACTGTTAACCTAGAAGTGACGACAAGATTATGTGCCATTTGGCCTGAATGGTTTTTAAAAGGATTTTTACCAAGCTGCCAACATGTAAAAGTCTGTGGTGATTTCACATGTAAAAACTCCTAGATGTCCCCCTTTTTTTGGCAAAGATATAGCCACGCTAAGTGCCTCCCGCCGTGTGGGCAGGGAAGCCCTATAGATGGGGCATGTGATCTCTAGTTTGCCACAATCTCCACCGCTCCACATTGCCTCGTAAATGATCCTCCCTCCTCATCACCACGTAGGTCAAGCCTCTCGAGGCACCTGTGTTGGTGGGCTCTTCACACAAAGCTCAGGGCAGAGGAGAGATGGTGTTCTGCCCCCCAGAGCCCTACCAGCCCCACCCCTGTGTCCCTGGGATGCTCTCGCACCTTCTCCCGCCCTGGACCACCGCGCCCCCAAGCCACCACAACTCTGGCTCACCTGCTGTTCTGTCTCACTCTGCTGCCTCTTCACAGGCGTCCCCGGCACCTCCCCGTTGATGCTGTCGGCCCCGCTGACCGACATCAAACTTCTCCGCTCCTTCTGACTGGACTTGGGTTCCACCTTCGTAACTCTGAACCTGAGCGGGTGGAGTGGGGGGAAGAGGAGATGTGATGGGTTTTGCTTTTCCACTGAACAAGAATCATGAATGAACTAAAAAATCTACCTGGAGGATCCCAAAACAAACGCAGCCAAAAGTTAGGACAGCAGTGAACATCACCATATTCACCTGTGCACACGACTATATATAATAAGATAACCAACAAGAGCCTACTGTATAGCACAGGGAACTATACTCAAATATTTTGTAACTACCTATAAGGGCAAAGAATCTGAAACAGAATATATATGTGTGTGTGTGTGTAATAAAAACCGAATCACTGTGTTGTACACCTGAAACTAATATGACATTTTAAATTAAAAAAAATTAAAAAAAAAAAAGAAATTCACCATATTCAACAGGAGGGACCATCCCACAGAGCGAGGTCCCTGTTCCCCGCCAAACCTCTCAGCTACTATTCACTCAACACATCACGGACTCCGCGACACGGTTTATAGAGCACGTGAAAACGCAGTAAGAAACACGGGCACTCAAATATGAAACAGCCTCAGAGCTGTGGTTTCTAACAAGGACCCGAGCATTTACATCAGTTGTTACCCCAGAGACTGGATAAAAGCCTGACTAGTACGGAAATCAGATGTTCACTAGGCAGTTACCTTCCTCAAATTTTTCCTGGCAGAATGTCTATCTCTACACACGGCCCCAGTCACATGTTTATCGACATCAGCCAGAGGCAGGGTTTTTGTGTGTGCTTGGGTTTTGTCTGTTTTGTTTTTTTTTTTAAGCAAATTTGGGCTTTCATTAAGAGTTAAGGAATTTGAGAGAAATTTTCCTTAAGAATTAAAAGAGAAGGAAAATTTATTCAACTGGACTGCTTTTCTCATCTATCAGCATCAATACCCTAAGTCTGTTCTAAGTCTCTAGCCCTGGTCTTCATTTCCCTCATAACCATCTAAAATAAACTCTCCTTCTTTGTCCAAAATGAGCTTACCCACCAGAAGGAGGAGGGAGATGCCGCGGAAGGGAAAGGAGGATTAGGAAAACAGCTGTCACCACAAACCTAGGTAGTCAAACTCTCAAGACTCTCGTGAAGCAACGTATGCTGAAAAGCAGCCTGTACTCATTCAACATTCATAGTATTTATTCTATTAATACCTCCAAGACACAGAGTTGGATGCGGGGCATCTTTTTATTGGAGTATAATTACTTTACAGTGTTTGTGCTTGGATCTGGGGCATTTAAAAAAGCCATGTTGAATCTGAGTAGAAAGTTTCAGCAGATTTTTTTTTTTTAAAGCAAACAAAATACACTTTGTCCAAACAACTTGCAGGTTCTCACCCCACTCTACATTCATAAGTTCCCATGACTCTGTTCTGAATAAAACAGCATGGTCACGAGTTGCGCTGTTTTGCTGTCAGTGGCAAAGAGCCATGCTGTCTTCTCCTGCTTGCCTGTGCAACACACGGTAAAACTCGGTGAAATTCAAACAATAAAATAATAATAACAGACAACAATCCCTTCTTTCTAATTTTCATTTTATACTGTAGCATAGCTGATTATCAATGCTGTGAGTTCCAGGTGTAGAGCAGAGTGATTCAGTTACACATACACATGTATCCATTCTTCAAACTCTTCTCCCCCTTAGGTTACTACATAATATTGAGCAGAGTTCCCTATGCTGTACAGTAGGTCCTTCTGGTTAATAAGAGCCAACAATTCTTGAGTGTCTAATCATCGACAAAGACTGAATTAAGACCTTTAACACGAGTCCCCTTATTTAGTCTTCACAGCCACCCAATGAGGTGTGACTGTCATTCCCATTTTACAGAGGGGGAATACTGAGGCACAGAGAGACGGAATAGTTTGTCGTGATGCCAGGACTCAAATGAGGGCGATTTGGTGAGTCTAGGCTACTCCTCCTAGAGTTATCAGCAGAGAAAGCAGGACCACACAAGGCAGCACAGTCAGTGTTTGCTCAGGGCTTTCCCAGTCTGGCGGCAGCAGGCTTAGTCCCCACCACTGCTCTCTACTGCCTTCACCCATGCAGCATTAGCCATGCAGTTCCTGTGGGACTCTCAAAATCCACCAAAAATGCTGTGTGTGTGTGTGCACGCTTAGTCACTTAGTCAGGTCTGATTCTTTGGGACCCCATGGACTGCAGCCCTCCAGGCTCCTCTGTCCATGGCGATTCTCCAGGCAAGAATACTGGAGCAGGTTGCCATGCCCTCCTCCAGGGCATCTTCCCAGCCCAGGGATCAAAGCCAGGTCTCCCGCATTGCGGGCAGATTCTTTACCATCTGAGTCACCAGGGAAGCTCACTCCGTATCATCAAATTCCTACCCTGGGTGTTCAGACCGTAAAGAAACTGCCTGCAATGCGGGAGACCTGCATTCCCTCCCTGGGTCAGGACGATCTCCTGGAGAAGGGAATGGCCACTCAGTATTCTCGCCTGGGAAATCCCATGGACAGAGGCACATGACGGGCTGTAGTCCATGAGGTCACAAAGAGTCAAACACAGCCAAGTGACTAACACACCCACATCGTCAAACTGATTCATCGCCCCCAAAGACCTCCACGTCACATACAGGTCACCAGTAATGGAACTTTAAGACTGGGGAACCGGGGCACAGAGGAGGTGAACTAAAGAAAGCAGGCCCAGGAACCCACATGATCTGACACGGCAGAGACTGGACCAGCTCCTTCTCTTCCCTTCTTCCCAGCACATGGCTGGAGGACATTTCCCACCTCCCTGGGCATGAGGTGTGGCCGAGTGATTCAACGCCAGTCAGAGGAAAGTGAGCAAGAATGAAAGGTGCCACTTCAGGCCCATCCCATTAAAACCTTTTGTGAACAATCCTCTGAGGACTTTCTCCTGCTAGCAAACCTGGCAGTGGCACCAGATGGAAAGGCCCTGGGGCTCTGGATGACCACTCCAAGAGCCACCACCAATCTGATCTCCATGAGCAACACGAACTCCTGTATGGAGTGGAGATTGTTTATCTATTAGAGAAAGTGTGATACTGTCACTTGACCAGGCCAAGGGCTGCACACAGTTGATAAAACATTATTTCTGGGTGTGTCTGAGGGCATCTGCAGAAGGCTTTGCAGACGACATTAGCGTTTGAATTGGTGGATTGAGTAAAGATCATCTTCCCCATTGCAAATGAGTATCATCCAAACCCTCAAAGGCCTGAATAGAACAAAATGGCAGAGGAAGACTGAATTTGCTGTTTTTCTTTGAGCTGACACATCACTCTTCTTTTGCCATCAGACATGAGCATTCCAGGTTCCTAGGCCTTCAGACTGGGACCAGGACTAACACCATTAGCTTGCCTGGTTCTCAGACCTTTGGGCTTGGACTGAATTACCACCAGCTTTTCTGGTTCTCCAGATTGCAGACAGAAGGTCACGGGGCTTCTTGGCCTCCATGATCATGTGAGCTAATTCCCACAGTAATTCTCTTCTCATACGTTTATGTGTGTGCATATATATATAATATGGTGGAGGTGGTTTAGTTGCTAAAGTCATGTCCAACTCTTGGTGACATCATGGATTATAGCCTGCCAGATTCCTCTATCCATGGGATTTCCCAGGCAAGAATACTGGAATGGGTTGCCATTTCCTCCTCCAGGGGATCTTTCAGATCCAGGAATTAAACCCACATCTTCCGCACTGGCAGGCGGATTCTTTACCTGAGCCACCAGGAAGCATAACATAGAATCTTATTGACTATGTATACATATGCATGCACGCTCAGCTGCTTCAGTCGTGTCCAACTCTTTGCAACCCTGTGAACTGTGGCCCGCCAGGCTCTCCTGTCCTTGGGATTCTCCAGGCAAGAATACTGGAGTGGGTTGCCCTGCCCTACTCCAGGGGATTTTCCCGACCCAGGGATTGAACCCATGTCTCTTACACCTCCTGCATTGGCAGGTGGGTTCTTTACCACTAGCGCCACTCTGGGAAGCACACACATACACACACACACACAAAATACATACAGAATCTTATTGATTCCTGGAAAACCCTAATACAGCAAGTAATTCATCAATACATCTCACATCTGATCTCACAATAGCCACCTCTTAGAATTCTTCTTCTGTTGGAAAAATGCGGGACTCAGACCAGAAAACATGAAAGAAGCCAAGAGACAGGACCAAGCCAGGCTCGGGAGAATACACGCTACATTTAATAGGTGTACAACTCCACACAGCAGAGCGACCGTGTCACACAACCCCAAGCCTCCCAGGACTCACCTGCCCACAGAGAGGACGGTGACCTCTCCTTGGCGCCTCGGGCGGCCCTCTTTGGACTTGTTGGTGGGTTTTATGAAGTGCCACCGCTTGTGCCTACAGCGATGGCACACGTCCTGCTCGACGGGACCCCCCACTGTGTGCAGATGGTGGCCGCAGACGTGCTTCCCTGGGGTGCCCCCCGGTGACAAGGGCCCGGGGCTCACCGGCGGGCTCCCGGGAGTGCTGGGAGTCACTGGGCTAAGACAGGAAGAAAAAAAAGGAAAAGGGTACTTAAAAGAAATAGCTATGTCATTCGCTCCCTCTGCAATGTAAGAAAGGTTTAAAGCAAAAGAAAAAATACCTCTTCCAATTACACAAATGGGCTTTGTGGACTGATCTCAGGCAGCAGGTACTCAGACTATACAATGACAGCTCATTGTGAACAGTAATGATGTGATTTGTCACTTCTAGTTAACTGGTTGGAAATAAACCACTGCTTTTAATGAAGATGCACTGTTTGTCTCTGAAGTACAAGGTTTCTTTCCTTGTATGGCTGATCTCCCTTCTCATACAATCTAATTTCATGCAAACTAATATCTCATACTTACCCAAATGCCTCCTAGATCTCTAAGCAAAGAGAGGCGCTGAATATATATACCCTGGAGGAAAGAGAAACTTAAATTCCAATCAAATCACTAGATGACTTAAGAATATTTGATCCAGTCTGATTATTGGGTCAAAGGAAGAAAGCTCTTAGGCCAAGATATCAAAAGTGATGCTCAAAAGAGATGTTGATAATAGTAATAATAAAAACCTAACACTTAGCGTTCTAAGCGTTCGATCTTTACAAAACCTCTAAATTAGAACTATTTAAAAACAAGGACACTGAGCCTCAGAGCGGTTAAGCAAGGTCAAGGTCACACAGCTAATAAGGGATGGCTCTGAGATCAAATCTAGGAAGACTAAATCTGAAACCATGATCTTAACCATCATGCTACAGTGCTTCAGAAACACGGGAGACGACTTTGATAACCTAGAAGAAACCCAGCCAGACCATCCAAAGTATAAAAAGCCCAAGTCTAAAGGTTAGATGCTGGCTGCTTTCAAAAGGCACGTGTCAAGCCTCTGGTCCTCTAGAAAAGGAGGAGTTAAGACACGACAGAGCTGGCCTGACCAGGAATCTGAGCTCTGACATGGTATAGGTGGGTGTGAGTGTGGGTGTGGGCCGGTCAGCATGTCACAGCAGAGCCTGACTCCTGAGACCAGGCCAAGAGTCCCAAAGGCACATGGAGGTCTCATGATAGCATCAGCCAGCCTTCACGCTACAGATAACCAGCCCACTCGTCCATTTCAAAAGGAGCATGCATAATTGAAGAGAAAGTCTCAAAGACCCCAAACAGCCAAAAGTTTCCTGGCTTTCATTAAGGATACTTTTTAGGTTGTTAAAATAAAAACACACAGCTGCAGCTTTCTGGGGTAAAACAATGCTAACACCACATATTAGGAGGTTGAATTGAAAGTTTAACAACATTCATTCAAGAAACATTTATCAAAAGAAAAAAAAAAGAAACAATTATCTATACCCACTGTGCACAAAACCCAAATGATGGGGACTTTAGGATGCTCTCAGATGACTGAGATGACACGGTCCTTCGATGAGGAGCCTGTGTTCAGGGCTGGAATGTGGGGGGACCCACAGCCCGTAAGTCTCTATGAACTACACCACCAGGGCTCCCAACACTGGCCTTCCTGAGCTGAGTCGCCTCACTGAAATGCAGATCTAACCCGGCCAGTTTCACAAACATGTATGAAACAGCTAAGATGTGCTGCGTGCACAACCCGCAGAGTAAGCAGAAAAAGGCCCAAACCCCTTGCCAGGTCACTCAGACCCAATTTGCTTCCTTGGTCCTTCCTGCTTCTGTCCACAGCACACCCTCAGGCCACCCGAGACTGAACCTTCCCGGGCATCCCACACTTTCCCTCTCCTGGGCCTTTGGTCCTGAACTCTCTCTCCCCACAATCCCCTACTTCTTGTTTCTACTCCCCATTAGACTGAGTCCTCCTTGGCAAGGATGTGTGAAGGCCCAGCTCCGGCATCATGCCCAGCACACAGCAGGCACTCAATAAATGCTCTCTGAAGCATGAAAGACGACACAGAAATATAGTTGCCTGTGATTATAATTACGACCGACTGTGAAGCTCAACAACCATAATCTAAAACAAACATCCCTACCCTAATACAAAAATAGAACGTAGCAGGTGCTCCCAAACCAGCCCAGTTTTTCATTTACGCATAATTGTTCATGGAGGTCTTTTAGTGCCCGAGATATTCTGTATTTCTTATGATGTTCCAGTTAGGTTGGTAGGGCGGTTACCCCCAGTTTGTAGATAATGGAACTTGGGCTCAGAGTGGTCAGTTGACTTACCTGAGAAGAGGGGAGCCATAGGTGGTGCAGGGAAGACAATTTAGGTGCCCGATTCCAGGGCATCCTCCTCCCATCACGGTTTGCTAACCCAGCAGTCCTCAACCAGGGGCGACTTCACCCCCAGGGGACACGGACAGTGCCAGGAGACAATGTGGGATGGCACACCCCAGGAGAAAGGGACCATGGCATCCATTTCACTGGAGGCCAGGGATGTTGTAAAACTTCCTACAAGGCACAGGACAGTCCCCCACGGCAAAGAATTCTCTGGCTCACGTATCAATAAGGACAAAGCAGAGAAACCTGCTCCAGCAGATAATTGGAAAAAAAAAAAGCCTCATAAAATCAGGGGGAAAGCACTCACCTTTCAGGATCACACACACTGTTATCTGCTACCATTGCCGCTAAAACATCAACATTTGCTAAAGAAAAAAAAAAATTAAAATGGAATGAATTAGATGAGTGATCATACAATTAGCATATCAGAAAAACTGTGGGAAAAACACCTAATTGAGTTTCTTCAATTCACAGATGAGGCCTTCGGGCCCTGGAGAAGGCAGGGCCTTTCCCAAGGAAAGTCCAGATATGGCTCCATCTGCAGATCATTTTCAACTCGCAGGAAGTTAGTGAGAGTGACAGAGGATCTACGCAAAGGAAAGCAGATCTACCACAAAGCTCTGCTTCCTATACGTTGTCAGCAATACAACACAGAGATTTTTCTCCTCAAACCGAAGGGAAACTGAATGTAACTCACTCTGCTAAATATGTCATAAAATGCATGACTCGAGACCTGTATTCTAATAACTTCCATGTGCTCATATAATGAGCCCTAAATTCTGGACACCCCATGTAATATCAAGTACGGGGTCTTTGCCGATGGCTCAGTGGTAAAGAATCCGTCTGCCGCGCACACAGGAGACTCAGGTTTGATCCCCGGGCCAGGAAGATCTCCTGGAGGAGGAAATGGCAACCCACTCCAGTATTCTTCCCTGGAAAATCCCATGGATGGAGGAGCTTGGGGGGCTATAGTTCATGGGGTCGCAGAGTCTGATCATTGGACATGCCTGATCAGGGCGTGGTAACAGCACCAAGTCTATCCACACAGTGCTGGGGATGAGAAAGGGTTAGTTTCTCAGGCGGGCCATTTGGTTTAGCTCTGCTTGAGGGCCATACAAGACCTGAACTCTAGCCAAGTATCTTAAAATTTCAAATGCTGGTCAGGGTCACATGCGTGGGATTCCTGACTGAATCCCAGGTTTCTTATGTCTCCTGCATTGGGAGGCGGGTCCCTTACCACTAGTGCTTACCTAAGAATTCACTGGTTACACAGATCAGTTATCTAATATGGACAGAGCTAAATTCAACTTCTAATGTTAATTTTCTAAAAAATCCAAATTTGTAGGTGGAGCCTAAGCTGTCAACTAAAGCAAACTGAATCTCAGCTTCTTGGGGGCCTACCCCGCCACCGTACACAGACACACATTACTTCATTTTTTGTAGGGTGTCAAGTCTTAAGAAGAAAAGATGGAACTGAATGGTCAAGTTCCTCTTGGGTATCTCCCGGCAAGGCCAGATGTTATGACTGACTCTTGACCCCTATCCATTGACTTTTAAAAAATATTTATTTATTTTTGGCTGTGCTAGGTCCTCGTTGCTCCCTGGGCTTTTCTCTAGTTGTGGCAAGCAGGGACCACTCTCTAGCTGCAGTGCATGGGCTTCTCCCTGAAGTGGCTTCTCTTGTTGTGGAGCAAGGGCTCCAGGCACACGGGCTTCAGTAGTCGGAGCTCCCAGTCTGTAGTGCACAGGCTTGGTAGTCGTGCTGCATCGGCTTAGTCGATCCATGGCCTGTGGGATCTTCCCGGATCAGGGATCGAACCCATGTCTCCTGCATTGGCAGGCACTCTTTAACACTGAGCCACCAGGGAAACCTCCCCATTGATTTTTAAAGTGCTGTTCTCAGTACTAACCGCAAGTTCTCTAGACATAAAACAATTAAAAAAAAAAAAAAACTATTTACCATGTGAGCTAACACCAACATTTAATATTCAACAATCTCGAAATTCCAAGAGAAGGAAAATTAACCCCAGTCTCAACACTGCTGCTTTTAAGTCAACAGTTAAAGATAGATCCAGTGTTCTGCAACTTTTTTTCATGACTGCTCCACCTAGAAGCTTTTTTCTTTTTGACATTTTTTTCCTAATTCATCCTCCCATAAAACTATAATACTGAAGATAAACAACTGTTTATGTATTATGTGCATATCTGCTTTTTACATATAAAATAGTAGGGTACTTTTTTGCCCCCACAATCCAATATTATCCCCTTCACAACCCTTGCAAATGCATAGGATTTTTGAAGAAATACTAAAGGAACACACCATCATTTTCAAAAAGAAATAATTTCTTTGCCTTTCATGACTATCTGTGAAAATGCACAAATACATTTCCAAATACAAGTTTTGATATAAAAAGACTCTTATCATTACAAAAAAAAAGCACTGAAATGGATGAGTAGTGTCTTCTCCCACAGAACAAAAAAAGGCATGTTACCCCTCTAAGTCAAATTTAAATATAATTTAATCATTTCCCTTGAACTAATACTAAGAATTCCAAAAAACATTTTCTTTCATATAAAGTGTTTAGGAAACACACAATAATTTGCCAGTTGACATTTATATTATGCCATCTTTTACTAAACTTCAAAACTATTAACAAAAAGTGGTGGGGAATAACAACTAAAAAAAGAAATGGAAACAAAGATAACACTAATAGCATTCATTTATAAAGATGAGCTTTTCAAAAAGTTTATATAGTTACCTGAGAAAATTAATCACCTGCAAAATGAGGACCTCTGTTATAAACATCAAATTATAAAATGCTTCCAGGAAGATAATTAAAATATATTAAAAAAGCATTACTTTTTTTTTAGGCTTGTGTTGTTTCTCATATATTCATGTATCCCTGTACTTCACCCTCCTTATTTCTTAGAAACAATAGTAAACAACCCCTTAGTTTGCTATGACCAATGATTTAACAGTAGGCTCAAGCTTTTATGCAAATAACATGCATACTCATGTAGGACCAACACATGCACAGACGCACTCATGTAGACCCTTGTCTCTAGGCTATCACCCAGTCTACACCAGGGAGTAAATCTCAGTGAACTATCCCTTGTGAACCTTTTTGGTCTCCTGTGATGAGAAAACCCTAACATAACACCACCATTAGCACATAAACACATGCTTTAATTTGGTTATAAAATTACCATAAAAAAGCAAAACCCAGTTAAGTTCTATTAAATATACATCTCCTTGTGATTACTCATAACTTCAATAAGCCCCAAGAGATGGTTTCCCCTACACCTTTTTAAAAAAAATTTATTTATTTGGCTACGTTGGGATCTTTGTTGCATCTTGCGGGAATCTCTATGATGCACAGATTCAGTAGTTGCACACAGGCTTGGTTGCTCCGCAGCATGAGGGATCTTAGCTCCCTGACCCAGCATCGAACCTGCATCCTCTCCATTGGGAGGCTAATTCTTAACCACTGGACCACCAGGGAAGCCCCCTCCCCTACACTTGTCAACATTCTGTCCAACTCTACTTCCTTTCATGGGCGCCCAAAGGATGGGAGGAGTCAGTGACAGGGCAAGCAAAACCTGTCAAGAACAGGGGAAATCTTCTAGTGGGCAGTCATTTCCAGATACGGTTTCCTCTCTTTCCTGAACTTCTGCCTGATAATATGCACAGAGTAGTCAGAATCAGCCCTGCTTTCTCTCCCACCATTATCCTCTTTAAAGTTTTCCCTTACAGTCAAGGCAAGATCCTGGTATGTGCCAGCCACTGTCAAAAAGCTTTATAGACCTCCCATGTTTGATTCACTCTAATAGCGGGCAGAATTATCATCCCCATTTTACAGATAGAGACTGAGGCCTAAAGACTGTAACTGACTGTCCAGAATCCCACAGCTAGAAACAGACCTAGATACAAAAACCTGGTCTATCTAACTCTAGGGTGGGTGCATTTCACCCCAACCAACTCCTCCCTACTCCTTCTGAGTCTCCACCCACATGATGATGGTTTAACAGTTAATTCATTTTAATGTATGACAAAAACCACTGCAATGTTGTGAAGTAATTAGCCTCCAACTAATAAAAATAAATGGAAAAAAAAAATAACAGTTCACAGGATGTTTGCATAATCATTATAGCAAGCTTCAGAGATCTACTCAGTGATGATGGTAGTCTATGAAGAAATCCTTTTAGCCATCACACAAATTGAGTGCCAAGATAAGAATTTCACCAAGGGACCCCTCTCTTCTGCCCAGTGTAAATAACCATAATCAGGGGTTCTTGGACAGTAATCACAATACTGACAGGTGCTGCTATTTTCAGACAGTCTGGCCCTGGCAGAGAAGCCCAGCTGGAGAGTTGCAGGTTCTTTCCAAACTTCCGCAGTGAAATGCTCTTCTGGTCCTGTTCTGTTTAGAAAGGATTACAGGCTAGTGGGAAAATAATCAGTGTGCAGCTTAGCCAATAAATTCATCCTACAAGAGATATCTGTCTAAACGAAATGTGAATTGCAACATCCAAGACATGATAGGTTTACACCATAAACAAGAATGTCACCATGAGTACTGGTGAAGTATTACCCCCTTAGCCAAATTAAAAATGCAAACCAGAAGATGAGTCATACATCAAGAGTGAAAGTATTTTAAAATATGTAAGTATAGGCAAAAAAACCCTAAATAAACATGGGAAAAGGGTAATGGTTTGTACTCAATTTTATTCATTTTTTCTCCAATGTTTAAAGAAAAATTATGTTATAGTGTGCTATTTTTAAAAAATAGAAAGTTAATTAATCTCAACATGGAGGTCTAAATGGATATTAAGTTCAGAGTCTGTTAACGACAAAGAAAAGAAAAATACATTTTGTTGTACAGAGAATTTAAGTCTCCAAGGCAAACTAATACAACTAGGTTATAAACTGGTAAGAGACCCAAGTACCTATTTAATCCCTCAGCTGTGGTTTTGGCACAGGCTGGAAGCTAGAGAGGTCACTCTGTGTGAGTACCCAGTGAAATCAGATGTCTCCTGGTGGCCAAGGAGAACCAAGGCCACACACAGGATGAGGTCACAGAAGAAATCTTAGGCGGACAGACAAAGGCCCTTACATGGAGAAGGGTGAAGAATAAGAAAGACAGAAGGCAGGAGCTGGGGAGCAGGGGAGAAAGAATGAAATCAGAGCTTTGAATACTCCACTGGTAATCAAGGCAGCAGAAACTCAAAAGCTACTTTCCAAAAGGGAAAGGACATAATTAAAAAAGAAGAGCAGTCCTAGAGTCTGTGAGTGTGGGAGTGAGGAAATTATACAGTCTGCTTCCTCCAGGGACCCACAGGTTTCACCTCGGCTGCAACATAAGAAAAGGGCCACAGGCCAGCTTGATGACCTTAGGCGACTTTCTTACCCTCTGGGCCTCTGTTTCCTCATCTGCAAAATGGGGTGGCAACAGGGCTGACTTCATAAGGTAGTTTGGATAATTTAATGCATTAATATTTAGAGTTCTATAAAATGCCCCAGCTGTATACGTTATCTCTTTGAAAGGAGGAAGTTTATCGTCCATCTTTCCTGACACCAGGAAGAAGCAGCGACAGTACACAGGATGGACTCTGACGTCAGAGGCTAGAGTTCAAATCTCAACTCTGCTACTTGCAGCAGGGCGACAAGGGCAAGTGAGTTATATGCTGTGAACCTCGGTTTCTCAACAATAAATTGGAAATCATACATCTGAATCATAGGGCTCCCAGAAAACCCTCAGAACAGGCCTGGCAGTTAGCAAGCATTCAGTGCCAAATATGAAGTTACACAGGAGAACTTCAGCCCCCAGCAAAGTGTTCACAGCTGACATTTCACACCACTCACCCCTCAGGAACCCCTCCTGCAGCACTCACTCACTCAGCAGCTGCTTCAGCTCCCAGAAGCCAGGTCCCACAGCTCTCCAAGCTTCCCAAAGCCTGAAGGCGGTTTCTTTCTTTCTCTCTTTTTTTTCCCCCCAACTTTTAATTTTGTATTGGAGTGAGTGATAACCACTCAGTCTTGTCCGACTCTGCGACCTCATGGACTGTAGAGCACCAGGCTCCTCTGTGCATGGAATGCTCCAGGCAAGGATACTGGAATGAGTTGTCATTTCCTTCTCCAGGGTATCTTTCTGACCCAGGGATCAAACCCAGGTGTCCTGCATCGCAGGCAGATTCTTGACCATCTGAGCCACCGGGGAAGCTGTATTGGAGAACAGCTCTTTAACCAAGCCGTGATAGTTTCACGTGGAGAACCAAGGGACTCAACCATAGACATACATGTACATGAAGGCAGTTTCGACTATGCAAGAGCCAGGAGAGGTGCAGGGCCAGCCACACCTTGCTCGGGGCACTTCTGTAATGGCTGGAGCTTTTATGCCAAGGACAGATTTGTGTGCTTCTTATGCAAATTAAAATCCACTTCTTTATGCAAAAGAAATATGCACCACTGAGTCCTCAAGAATAGCATCACCAAATACTGCTCCCTGAAGGAAAAGTGAAAAAAAGTGAAAGTGAAAGTCACTCAGTCTGACTCTGCGACCCTATGGACTATACAGTCCATGGAATTCTCTAGGCCAGAATACTGGAGTAGGTAGCCTCTCCCTTCTCCAGGGGATCTTCCCAACTCAGGGATCAAAACCAGGTCTCCTGCATTGCAGGCGGATTCTTTACCAGCTGAGCCACAAGAGAAAGTCTTTATAACAGGTATCGAATCCAATTGATGATTGTCTTTTTTGTTATTTTAAACATCATCCTATTAAGTTAGACTATCTGGTTTTCAATCCTGGAGAAACTGAAAGTGACAAACTAGAAGAGAGGCAAGGCAATGCGGTACAGATGGAAAAGGCCCATGCAGGGCGGCACTACTCCCTAACCATGTGACCAACCACGTGGAGTCTTCCTTTCTTCATCTGTAAATGGGTATAATAATATCAACTCCAGAGGAACACTGTGAGGATTAAATGATATCATGCACATGAAGCACCTAGATCAATGCCAAATATGTAAAGTCCACTCTGTAAAGAAGAAATGAGAAGTGTGCTGAAGCATATGAAGTTGCTGCTTCTCTAGGTCAGAAAGACTGACTGCAGCCTGGGCCAGGCAGGTGCTCTGGTTAATCGTGAGGCTATGGGGACAAAGGACCCCACGGAGGGGCTCGGAACAAAAGGCAGGTATTTCCTGAGCAGTGCGGAGGTATTTCAACTTTCAGACAAAGGACTCAGCTGCGCCAGTGCATGCTGCTTGAGACAGTGTTTATCAGGGCCCAGAGGGAGCCCAAGGAAAACATTTTGTTTTACCTTCTCATGAGAATTCAAAGCATAGGGCTACTGGATATGTTGGCAGAAAAAACTGTGACCTAAAAGTTATGCGCAACCTAAAAGTTGAGAGTTATGTTTTATTCAGTGGACAAATCTGAGGACTTAAGCTCAGGAGACAAGACTCTCAGATGACTCAGAGACTGCTATAGAGAGACAAAGGAGGGAGCCAAGATATACAAGAATTTCTGCAATAAAGACCAGGTAGTCGGAACGTCAATCTGCTACTGTTAATAAAAGAAAACCAGACATCCCAAGTCAAGGAATTCAGCGCTTTTCCATGTATGGGAAGATGTAAGTCTGGGCTCACTGAAACCATTCCTTTGATATGCATCTCAGCTCTCTGGGGCCAGGATCCAGTATTTTCACATCCTGAGTTTCCTCAGGACTCATAGTCAGGGAGTGGTGTAGTCTGATGGCTGCTAGATGCCAGGCATTCTTTCCTTCTTGGGCTCCCTCAGGGTTCACCACGGGGGCACTGTAACGGATGGCTTGATGGCTGACTCTCTTTGTTTACTGACGTGAGGTGGCATTTTTAGTTCACAGGTATGTGGGCAGGAGTGCCACACGCCTCAAAAGTCACTTGGGGTGGGGTATCTCGTGGAGACAATCACCAATGCTTCAGAAAAATGACCCTGATTTATCTAATCAAGATCAAACTAATTCTCCATTCAAGAAGACAGGGGTTTAGGATACATTTCAGAATGGAAAAAAACGCTTAAAGTCAAAGTTCAGTGGTGGTGGTTTAGTCGCTGAGTCGTGTCCAACTTTGTGACCCCATGGACTGTAGCCCACCCGGCTCCTCTGTCCATGGGATCTTCCAGGCAAGAACACTGGAGTGGCTTGCCATTTCCTTCTCCAGGGCATCTTCCCCACCCAGGGACTGAACCTGGGTCTCCTGTATACAGGCGGATTCTTGACTAACTGAGCCCCCAGAGAAGCCTAGACATTTTAAAAGCTTTAACACTTAAGAATAGATCATAGAATAGGTGAACTCACAGAGGCAGAAAGCAGAGGAAGGGTTGCCAGAGGCTGGAGGGGGAGAAGGTGGAGAATTGGGAGTGACTGCTCAGTGCGTACAGAGTTTGGGATGACGAAAAGTTTCTGAAACCAGATACTGGTGATCTTTGTACACTACCGTGAACATGTGTGCGTGAGTGTGCATGTGCTCAGTCGTGTCCGACTCTTTGCAACCCCATGGACTGTGGCCTGCCAGGCTCCTCTGTCCACGGGATTTCCCAGGCAAGAAGACTGGAGTGGGGTGCCACTTCCTTCTCCGTTGTGAATGTACTCAATGGCAACGAACTGTAAATTTTAAAATGGGTATAGCAGCAAATTCTACGTTTAGTGTATTTTACCACAGTATGTTTAAAAGCAGAAGAAAACGAATAGATAATATTTGAGTGCTTATTATACCAAGCAGCTTCTGTGCAATATGCCACAATAATATCATGAGGTAAATATTATTTTAGAGGAAGAAACTGAGGTTCAAGAGGTGATAAGACTTTCCCCAAATCACGGCAACGCCAGGGTTAAAAGGTAAGCCTCCAGGGCTGACTCGGCAACACTCAGACCCCCTGACTCTTAGAAAACTCACTTCTGTGAAACTCTCCTGATGGGGTAATGCTAAAAGCTGGGCCATTTGTGAGCCTAGGTGGAAGGTGCTACCAGTAACTTCAGAAACACTGACAGGAGAATCCTAGATTTCAATAAAACATGTTTTTGAAGCAGGTTTTTTAATAAAATGTGAATAATGAATAGTTCTGGACACTAAAACAGCCATACCTTCGTTTTTCATGATGTATTGGACAATCTGCCCAACGGTGTCACTATTTTCATTTACACTGTCGTTCAACTCTGAAAGAGAAAGGGGAGGGGAGGACAGGTTACAATTGCTCACCTGCATCAGGTCAAAGAGACATGCAGTCTCAGAGACTTAGACTTCCCTGAACAGTCTCCAGAAAGCTCAGCTGATGACCCACGGTGCTGAGAGCCCTGCTTTCTTTTAACACACCTTTTCTCTTAGCACACCTGACCAAAAGCACACCGCGACTTTCTCGGCAGAACAGGTGCAAACTGCCCATCAATATCTTCTAAAGTCCAGACACATGCTTAATTTCCAAGAAGTCTTTACCAGTCCTTACAACTATTACTTCTTTCTCATCATTTTGTTAAACTCAAAGGGGAAATGGAAAGAAGAAAGATAATTAAAATAAAAACTTCTCAGATTTTATTTTCATTGTAGATATACCATATACAGAGTATTAATTTATTTCTTAAATTGGGTAATTATTCACCTCTGTCTTCACAAGACTTTTAAATATACTTCCAAATGATCTAAATGTTGGCCATGGTTAATTACCTATAAAGTCAGTTTACTTTGAGAGACTCTGTACATGGGATAGTCTTTAGGGGGAAAAAAAAAAAGTCAAACCTTTAGTCTGAAACTGATCCTTAGGGGGTTGACCTAGAATCATGGTGTGGTATCTTACCCATGTAATATGGAGAAGTGTCTTCTCCACCCAAGCCACTCCCTCCCCATGAACACACATGTCCAATTAGACAGTGCACATGCTGACCACTAAGCCGACCTACACAGCATCTGCAGAAGATGAGAGAGAAAGGTCCTGCTTTCTGTTGACAAACAGTCAGCCTCGGTTTGCTCATGGACTCACACATGACTCATCGTGTGACTGCTCACTCCCTGCCTCAAAGGTCAGCGGGGGTGGGAAAAACCAACATGCCAGCAAGCTGGCAAGGAATGAAAGAAGCTCCCCAACTCTACCCTTGATCCCACTTGAAGGGCGACCTACTCCAAATGTCACCTTTCTGCAAAAACTGCCCTTGGAGGTCTGGAAAAGATAAGGAGAGTTACCGACCATTCCCCAAGGCCCAAAGGATAGTTGAAAAGTACATCTGTGGTGAAAACAGGACTTCATCTCTCAGGGTTTTCAAATACAATCTAGCAACTCCATGTGAGGAGGAAATGCTGAGACACTCTGAGGTCAGTGCAAAGGTACCAGCTCTTGTCATATTTACACTGCACTGTTCACACAACCATTTACTTAATAAGCATAAACTCCAACCTCATATTAGGTTGGTGCAATAGTAATTACAGTTTTGGACACTGATTTTAAATCATTATAACTAGGCTCAAACACATCTTTAGTAATCAAAATAGGAGCCATTACACTCAAAATATTTTTGCCAAAGAGAAATAAGCTTGTTTATTCTTGTACCATAAAAATCCGTGCTACGGGATTTGATGAACTCTTGGAAAGCATTTTCTACCTCCTGTTGGTTGTGAAAGCATTTTCATTTCCCTGCAAAAAGTTGTCAAGATGCTTGAAGCAGCAGTAGTTAGTTGGCTACTTGGCAATATGGCAGATGAGACAAACCTTTATAGCCCAATTCATTCAACTTTTGAAGCGCTGGTTGTGCAACGTGAAATCGGGTGTTGTTGTGGAAAAAACTGTATCTTTTTTTGTTGACCAATGTCAGCTGCACACATCAGTTTTCAGTGCATCTCATCAATTTTCTGAGAATACTTCTCAGATTAATAGTTTTTCTGGGATTCAGAAAGCTGTAGTGGATCAGACAGACCGAAGACCACCAGACAGTGATCACGACCTTTTTTTGGTGGAAGTTTGGCTTCGGGAAGTGCTTTGGAGCGTCTTCTCTGTTCAAACACTGAGCTGGTTGTCTCTCTTGTTGTATAAAATCCACTTTTCATCGCATGTCACAATCTGATTGAGAAATGGTTTGTCGTTGTTACACAGAATAAGAGAGGATGACACTTCAAAATGACAGGTTTTTTTTGATTTGCGGTCAGCTCATGAGGCCCCCTCTTATCAAGCTTTTTTGCCTTTCCAATTTGCTTCAAAATACCAAACGATATAGAATGGTCAACATTGAATTCTTCAGCAACTTCTCCTGTAGTTGTAAGAGAATCAGCTTCAAAGATCTTCTCAATTGGTCATTGTGAACTTCAGATGGCTGGCCACTGCGCTCCTCATCTTCAAGGCTCTAGTCTCCTTTGCAAAATTTCTGGAACCACCACTGCACTGTACGTTCATTAGCAGTTCCTGGGCCAAACACGTTGTTGATGTTACGAGTTGTCTCCACTGCTTTCTGACCCATTTTGAACTCAAATAAGAAAATTTTCTAACATCATTTCCATAGTCTAAAATACATATAAAATAAGCAGCAAGTAATAATTCATTAGCAAAAAACATAAAACATACACATTAAAATGATGTATAACATAACCACGTTGAAGAAAGTATTCCAATATCAAATGGCAAAGTTCAACAATGCAAAACCACAATTACTTTTGCACTACCAAATAGGTTTTTAAAAGATTAACTCCCCCAGCAAAAGTAGCAGCACAAAAATGGTGAGACCTATTCAGTTTTCCTATTGTTCTTATTAGAATCTAATTCAACCGCAACAGTAAGGGCTACTATATGAAAAAAGTCAAAGTGTTAGGTGCTCAGTCGTGTCCAGCTCTTTGTGATCCTATGGACTGTAGCCCGACAGGCTCTTCTGTCCATGGGACTTCCCAGGCAAGAATATTGGAGTGGGTAGCCACGCCCTTCTCCAGGGGATCTTCCCGACTCAGGGACCCAACCCTAGTCTCCTGTGTCTACCAGCACACTGCAGGTGGATTCTTCACCATCTGAGCCAGGAAGCCCAATGGTTAAAATATACTGAGTGCCATTTGTGACAAACACCAAATGTTATCTTCTAATTTCACAATACTCTTACAAGGTGAAGATTACTATCCTTGTTTAAATTAAATTTTTAATTAAATTAATAAAATTAAATTTAAGTTAAACATAGCGGTGATTTAGAACATATTAACTTGTCTAAGGCCGCCAGATAAATAAGAGTAAATGACTTAGTAGTTATTTAATAAATGAAAGCAAAGTTTCTAACTCTAGGTGTGGTTCCTATAATACTTACAATGATGCTACACCACAGTATCTGCCGTTAAGATGGATCATTTTGTAAAAGTGTTGGTGAGGGTGTAGAGAAAAGGGAACCCTGTGCACAGTTGGTGGAAACATAAATTGGAACTGCCCCTATGGAAAACAATATGGACATTCCTCAAAAAATTAAAAATAGATCCTATGATCCAGCAATTCCATTTCTGGGTACATACCCAAAGGAAATGAAAACAGGAAGTGAAAGTGGAAAGATATATGCACTCCTATGTTTACTGCAGAATTATTCAAACTAGCCAAGATATGAAAACATCCTAATGTCCATCAAAGAATAAATTGATAAAGAAGATCCATTGACCAAGCAGTCAATGAGAAGAAATAGATGTTTTTCTGGAATTCTCTTTTGCTATGATCTAACAGATGTTGGCAATTTGATCACTGGTTCCTCTGCCCTTTCTGTACTATAATTATCAAACTTGGAGAGAGGCTACAACTGAATGATTCCTACCCTAAAAACAACTGACAATTATGTGATAGAGGTGTTAAACATCACTACAATGGTAATCATATTACAATATATAAATGCACCGGAATAATGTGTTGCACACTTTAAATTTACATAATGTTATTACATCAAATATATTTTGATGAAAAAAGATGGATCATTTGCCTTACAGAGACAGAAAACATACATGACTCATTTCTTATTAAAAACTGTCTGCACTCCCATTCCCACAAAAAAAGTAATCCGGATTTTTACCTATCTTTTCAACCTTTTCTCCTTCAACATCTTGCTCAGCTTCTGTTGTGCATCGATAGCCCTTCTTCTTAAGCAGGTGGCAAATGAGGACGCCAAAGAGACCCATGACGAAGAACACAGGGACAAGGGCATACGCGATATATTCCGGGTGTCCATTCCCAGTGTTGTTTGTGGGCGAGGGTGTCGTCTGGCTCTTGGAGGGTAATGGATGGCTGCCACTATGATCTGAGGAAGAAACATACACAGCTGCATCAGATGTCTACTGGAGACAAGGAACATCTGACAACCTTGGGAAATGTTCCTGTTAAATGTGAATCCGTTTCCAAAACCAGAGGCCAGGCAGAGGCTGGCAGGTCCGGCAGGACAGGCACATGGGCTTGAGCTCCTATCCTGACCCTGCTACTCACAATCGGGGCCACCTTGGGGTAATTTTTTTTTTTTTAAGCTCTCCAAGCCAGCCTCTGCTTCTTCATCCGTGAGATTACCTATACATCGTGGAGTGATTGCACAGAGTTTCAGCCAAGGGTCCACAGAGAGGACACACACCATCATTAGGTGGTATCATAGCAGTCCTTAGCGGCTAAAAGCACGGACTCGGGAGACTTGGGGTCAAGTCCCAGCTCCACCACTTTGCAGCCGTGTGACTCTGGGCAACAACTTAATCTCCAGGCCTTGGATTCTTATGAACAGACATACTAATAGTACCCAACCCACCCCTCGAGGCTTGTTATGAAGATGAAATAAATGAATACACATAAAACATCTAGCACCATTTCTACAAGAAAGCAAATGCTCAACTACACGGCAGGCATCACTTTAGGCATTTGTGACTTACCACTGAGCAAAACAAGGACCTCTGTCCTCAAGGAGCATATGTCCCAGAAAGATAGAGTAAACTGACTGACCTAGTGCGTGAAAAAAGAGACAAATCCAGGACGCATCAGGTTTGGGGCCTAGGGGCGCACATAGAAAAATGAAAGCACGTGCATTTGCGTGTCTGCTTACCAACCCAAATTATCATTTATGGCATGACTGTTATATGAAAAGCACCAGCTGGGAGCTGGATAGAGAACGGAAAACAAGATAGCATGACCAGTGCCAACTTGGAGCCTGTAGGGAAACAGGCGCTAAGTAAGTGAACACCTGGGCAGGCGTGAGAGACCGGGAGAAGGTCTGCATGGGGCACTAAAAGAAACGGGAACAGTGGGGACCTGTTTCATGACTTCAGAAACAGTGCAGCTGGGAAGGGGGCCTCTGTCGGGGAGAAGGAGCCATCTGCTTCTGGACAAGTGAGAGTTCCACACGGACTTACACCAGAAGCAGCTAGATATCTGGGCCCACAAGCGTGCCAGGACATACAGGGAACCGAGTAACCTCCACGAAGAAGGGGCCCAGCTCGCACAAGCATGAGATTGCGCCAGTTAAGATAACGGAGAAAGAGCCGACTGTGTGGAAATTCAGCCAAGCATCAATTCACACACACAAGATGAAAAGGGAGTCATCACACCACGGAGGGGACGTCAGGAAGGATGAGGACTAAAGGAAAATGTGGGGGTGGACTGAAGTGAAGTCTCATTATTTGGGGTACTCAGATTCTGAAGTGACACAATGAGGTTTTCTGCATCACAGAGATTTACGCATATTGCTTAAGAAACCCAGAAACCGGAAATCTAGATGCATTTAACTATAAACTCTCTTGAGAATATTTTGGTGGGGGGAAAAAAAGAACTGTACTGTAATGATCACATGAGGACAAATACCAGGTGTGAAATGACCACATTTCATCACTGCAGCAAACAATATCAAACAGAGGGCTGTCTCACTTTCAGATGGAAATAACCATTATCTCTGCCCGCGAAAGGAAACTGCTGGTTTCTCAGGTTTTGTAAAAGGTGGCACTCTTTATATTTTCACGAAACCTCTAGAATTCGGGGATAAGCTACACATTTATTCTGATTTCTCTCCCAAGGATATAATTAATAAATGGATGAATGAATAAAAAAGAGTACACACACACACTTCCCTAAATATATGCAAACATCCAAATTAGGGTTTAACACTAAGACTTAATTTCAGTAAAAACCAGACGTTTAACTCCCTTAGTAATTCTAGGCATTTTATTTATTAATTCCTTTTAAAAAACATATTCCATGCAACAGGAATAGATAAAGCAGGCAACGTGTTAAGACTGAAAGAGTTTTACTCAGAATCATAGTCGGTTTCAATCTGGAAGTGGTAAATTCTGTTTAGGGAGCAGCAGAAACAGGAACGAAAACAGGGGGCTCCGAACTGAAGCCAAGCAGCTCGTCCTGAATCAGGTGGTTAAGAATGTGTGTTCATCATTAATTTGACCTCTAGGAGACACTTGAAAATACTATGAATTCACAGTTTGTGATTTACAGGCAGGTGTCCGTCATTTAATCTCATAATTATCACACCATGGAAAAAGCTGAGGAAGATATGACTCTAAATTAGTGAAACATGAATTACAGAGATGCACTGTAGCTGAAAGGTCAGACTGCCTAGCATAAATAATTGCTTGGCCACTAACTAGGCATGTCACCTTGAATAAGTTTAACTGCTCTGTTCTCAATTTCCTCATCTGTAAAATGGAATCAAAATGATTGTACCTTTCTACAGTGGTTTCAAAATGTGGCCCCAAATTCTTTGGCAGTCATTGTTTTAAGCCACTAAGTTTTGTGGCAATTTTTTATATAGCAGAGTAACTGGGAGACTATTTGTTAAATTCATAGTGAGGATCACACACATTAATGTGTAAAGCACTTAGAGTATTTAGGAAAAGATAAGCACTATTAAAGTGTTTATTCTTGGGCTTCCCTGCACTCAGTCGGTAAAGAATCCTCTTGCAATGCAGAAAACCTGGGTTCCATCCCTGGGTTGGGAAGATCCCCAGGAGGAGGGCATGGCAACCCACTCCAGTATTCTTGCCTAGAGAATCCCCAAGGACAGAGCAACCTGTTGGGCTACATTCCATGGAGCTGCAAAGAGTCAGACATGACTGAGCGACTAAGCACAGCATATAGTAGTGTTTAGTTATTATCCTGATAGACCTGCACTACCCAATACAGTAATCACTAACCACAAATAGCAATTTAAATTTGTCAATTAAAAATAGATAAAATTGAAAAATTCAGTTCCTTAGGTGGACTAACCACATTTCAAATGCTCAACAGTCATATGTGGCTAACTGGTTCATATTAGACAAGTCCGATAAAGAACATTTCCATCATCCCAAGAGCCTCTTGATAGAGGTAAAAGAGGAAAGTGAAAAGCTGGCTTAAAGCTCAACATTCAAAAAACTAAGATCATGGCCTCCATTTCCATCACTCCATGACAAAAAGTGGGGAAAAAGTGGGAACAGTGGCAGATTTTATTTTCTTGGGCTCCAAAATCACTGCATATGGTGACTGCAGCCACAAAATTAAGACGCTTGCTCCTTGGAAGAAAAGCTATGACAAACCTATACAGCGTATTTAAACAAACAGCGTATTAAAAACCAGAGACATCACTTTGCTGACAAAGGTACATACAGTCAAAGCTATAGTCTTTCCAGTGGTCATGTATGGATGTGAGAGTTGGACCATAAAGAAGGCTGAGCACTGAAGAATTGGTGCTTTCGAAGTGTGGTGCTGGAGAAAACTCTTGAGAGTCCCTGGACAGCAAGGAGATCAAACCAATCAATCCTAAAGAAAATCAACCCTGAATATTCATTGGAAGGACTGATGCTGAAGCTGAAGCTCCAATACTTTGGCCACCTGATGCAAAGAGCCGACCCACTGGAAAAGACCCTGATGCTAGGAAAGATTGAGGGCAAGAGGAGAAGTCAGTGACAGAGGATGAGATGATTGGATGGCATCATTGACTCAATGGACATGAGTTCAAGCAAACCCAGGAGATGGTGAAAGACAGGGAAGCCGGGCCTGCTGCAGTTCATGGGGTCGCAAAGAGTCAGAGGCGACTGAACCAGTGAACAACAAGAAGTTATATTGTACAGCCCTGTTAAAGACTACAAAGAATCATTAAAGAGCAAAATGTTGACTGGAGAATCTCTGTTATCTACCTCAGCAATTTAAGAATAACTTTTAAATCACAAAGTAACTATTCACAATTAATGCCTAAGATACTGGTTAACTTAGGTAGGCTTAATGTTTCTTCAATTTACACTAATAATCTGCTTAGGGACACCATGGCCATCTTTTTTCTTCATCCTTAGCTGACTCATATCTGAATTCTGAAAAACACTGAGTCCAAATTAATAGCAAAGGTTGTTGTAACATTATTTATAAAAAGTCAAAAAAACAGCAACAACTGCATGTTTGACAATGGGATAATAATAAAATATCTAAGTCAACCACTGTCTATCCATTTGATGGAATAATATGCACCATTTAAAACTATTCATGAAGATTTTGTGAAGATATAGGGACATACTTATAATCTAATATTGAATTTTAAAAGGTGGATTGAAAAACTGTACATACTGTAGGATCAAACTAGTAAGAAAAAAAAGTACATGAAGGTATAAACTACACAAAGAAATAACCAAAATAGTAAGTGATTCTTGGTAATTGGATAATAGGTTAATAATTAATTATATTTCTAAGCTTTTCTGTAATTTTTTAAAATTCTTACATATGTATTACATATGTACCAAGATGGTAGACACTTTAAGAAAAAAAAAGATATAGAGTAGAGGTTGTGAGCCATTTGAGAGTCATAGATCACCAATCCCTTTGTAAACCTGTTGGATCCTATGGTTCCTATTTCAAAATTGTGCTTCCAAATTCTGTAACCTCTGGACCCTAAGTTAACCGAAGTGCAAGTGACTTGATAAGGATGATGCCCAAGCATCTGCATGAGTAACACAGTGAACACTGGTGCCATTCGCTGAGATGAAAAACATCTGGGAAAAAAATCAAGTTTGAATGGTGCTATGGGTTGAATTTTGCCTCACTCTCAATACGTATGTGGAAATCCTAACCTCAAGTACCTAAGAACGTGACCATATTAGGACATGGGATCTTTTTACAAAGGTAATCGAGTTAAAATGAAGTGTTTAGGGTAGACCCTAGTCCCACGTGGCTGTTGCCCTTTAAAAAAAAAAGAGGAAATTTGGAGGCAGACGAGCGCAAAGCGAAAACATCACGTGAAGACAGAGATTAGAGTGATGCTTTGGAGAAGCCGAGGAACACCAGAGATTGCCA